TTGGATAACATAATTTCCAAATCGATCACAGGCAAGTAGCACTAAGCTCTTTTATGCTATTTCGAAAATGCATAAAAAGATTAGTAGCAATATATATATATATATATATATATATATATATATATATATTTAATGACTTATATTTTAAATTATTTATAAGATGAGTTTTATTTACCTTTGTAGTTTGAAGAGCTATTTGGATAACATAATTTCCAAATCGATCACGGGCAAGTAGCACTAAGCTCTTTTCACAGCTGAGAAGGCTCTCTACTACCGAATTCAATCCACTCTGAAGCTTGTATGCATTTTTCAACAACACGGCTTCCTCTTTTTTGAAAAGCCAAGCGTAAGTAATCCCTCTGGAGGCGGTCACATATTTTTTCTATGATCTCATTGTTTCTAAGCATTAGAACTTCCTGGACAACATAATTCCTATTTGAAGAGAGATAAAAACAAGTTTGATAAGTTAAGAGTGAAAAGTTGTTAGATCATATTCAAATTCATAGTTGAAATAGTTGAAGAGTAAGAAAGTACATACTCATAAGGATCATTGGCTAAAAAATCATATTTTTGTGCAATACTTTTGAGCAATAGTTGTCTTTGGGCGCCAGTAATACAACTCAAGCAAACATTCAAGGATGAGCATCCATATTGTGTTGTTGCCACCTCTTTCAAATAAGAGATTACACAAGTGAATAAAACTTGCGTCCATAAGTTGAGAAATTGTAGTGAGATAACATACTATTACTAGATCTATAATGTTTGAATTATTTTAATTCATTTTTTCCTAGGAAATGTCTAAATGCACTCTAACTTTTGAAAATAGTATGATTAGGGAGGATGAGTTCATCTTTCATTCTAAACTGAATTTTATCTGATGTTGTAATGACTAGATAATTAACGGAATCCATATAGCCTATGCATCCACTTTCTTATACGAAGTATATACTAGGTATGTATGAACTATGAAGACTGAAGTACGGCCCTTCGCCTCCTATTCCTCCGCTCAACATCCCAATTCCTAGCGGTTCGAGCCACGCTCGAGTCCTTACAGAGTATTACGTAGTACTTAATGGATTGCTAGATCTCAATTCCGTGTGTTTTGTTTCTCTTTTTAAATAATTTTAATTCTGTGTACTCTTTTAGCTAAAAAAGGAAGAAAACTGAAGTACATAAATTGTGATAAAAAACGACTATGAAGTTGAAAATTATACAATTATATCATCTGTATCTATTATTTTCTAATAGTATCATGTTATAGCACTACTTTTTAAATGAAAGTAGACTCAACAATCAAAAGCCGTAGCATATCTTATGTTGCATCTCCAACCAACCATTTTTTATGTATATATAATAATGCAAAAAGTATGACATTAATAAGATTTAAGTTTAGTAAAAACCTCATTTTCTTTAGGCTCGAAAGTGTAAAAGCACTCTTGCACTACAAATCTATCGTGCTTGTTAGTCATCAACTCAACAAATCTCAAGGAAAAGATGATTGCAACGAATTGCCCCAACCCAGTGTTTTTAAGTCCCTTTATAAATCTTTGAACTTCACTTGACAGTAATGCATGTGATATGAACGTATTAGTAATATATTGATTGCAACAAAATAGTAAAACATGGAAAATTCATTATCACGACTATGAATGAATTTAATAATTCTTTTTACCCGTATTGCACAAGAGATGTGTTGACAAGCAAATCCTTGGATGATATCAGGGTGACAAAGATGGTGTCCAACTGACTAGAATCACAAAACTCAAGTATTCTTCGGAAGAGATGATGGCCATGTGGATCTATCATCACCTCAAATATGCACCTAATAACCCCATCAAGAACTTCTTGCGTGTCTTTTGGATTCCCATTCTTTATCAGATTTTGAAGTTCAAGTGACCCCTCGTGCGTTTTAGCCATGCGGACAAACACGTCCTTTGAATCACTCAGTCTTGAGAAACACTCATATTCGTAGTTGTTGTTTCTTGCAATATTATTATAATTATAACGTGAACGACTATATGGTCCTCCAACAAACTGATTCCATTTGACATTGCAGTTTTCTGGAACTAACCAAATAAAGAAGATAAATAAATAAATGAGAAAATTGTACCTAAATAAAAAATGGTTCAAGCATATTACCGATACAAAGTAAATAAATAAATGAGGTGCCAACAAATAAAAGAAAAGTAGAGCTCGAAACTACTTCAACATTGTAAATGAGATGTTTCACTTAAAGAGGAAACCATCTTTCCATTGTTAAAAAGTGCACAATGATGTCTCCTTGGCCCCATCGGTGGGTGGTCAAAATGTTATTTACTTTTATATACGTATGTTTCAATAATCAACATCGTCTTCTAGATTAGGTTGAACTTATGATATGGTAAAATTTACTTTTCTAAAGAAGATAAATAAATAAATTACTGCGTTACGACTTCTAAAGAATCACCCATCAAAATCATCAGGAACGCCTTTTAAGTGAAATTCATCCCATTTGGATCAAGGAATCAAGTAATTTACTCCGTATATTGGTTATTTACACTAGTATAAAAAGGCTTTTCACATCGGTCAAACAGCCGATGTGGTTCCAGCCCATGTGAAAAGTATTAACTTTTCACATCGGTCAATGAACCGATGTGAAAATTCTTTCTACATCGTTCGTTCAGTACCCGATCTAGAAGATAGTCCAAAACAGCATTTTAAATGATATTTCACATCGGTTTTAACTCATGTAGAAATGCAATCATATCAGTTATTTTACAACTGATATAGAAAAGCTTCAATTTTCCCGGAGCATAGGTTTTTCACATCGGTTATAACCCATGTAAAAAAGATTTCACATCAGTCATTTTATCAACCGATGTGAAAAGCTTCATTTTTTGCCGGAACATATGTGTTTCACATCGGTTATAACTCATATAGAAAAGCAATCACATCGGTTATTTTTCAATTGATGTGAAAAGCTTCAATTTTTTGGGTATTTTTTAGGGAAAAATTGCAATATGACCACCATTTAAACTATAATCACATCATTAACAGTATCATCAACTACTATAGCACAATTTTTCACATGTTCACTTGATCCATCTAAAACAATAACACAAGCTATTTTTCAATTCTTTCACAAATGTTAAACAAGTTCAAGTAACAACTTAGTACATAATAATAAGCTAAAATAAAATAATCCTTGCACAAGTCTAGAGTAATAACACATTGTATAAAATTACAAGTCTCATCATCACTCAAAAACTTAACCAAACGTGTTCATCATGTGTCGTTGATGGATTGCGTCATTTCTAAGAAATATGATGCCCAACGCGTTCGTACTTCATCAGTCTCAGCTCTTCTAATGAGAATGGTTCCGGATTGGCGAATCGCTACAAATTAAATAAGAAGGTTATTAAAAAACATTACATCGAGCAAACCTATTCAATGTAAATGGACTCAAAACATCATGATATGAATATTTAATAATGACAGATGAGATCAAATGAACATAAGTAAGTACATGCCTGTGCTAGCTGCTTCAGAACTAAATCTAAGTATAGTGTTCATGAATCTACTGGCACGTGAAACATCTTCATGTGAAAGCATTGGACTAGCAGAACCTACATCATAACAGTCAAGAAAATATAAACAACCTTCCTAGCCTGTTAGAGTTGGGTTGGAGTTGATAGAATAGGTTTTGATACAGTACTCACATAACTACGCTTAAGACACTCATAGCAATTGATGCTACTGGAATGATTCATTCAGAACAACATAATGATTTCACTACAGCGGAGGAAGGCTCACTTAATTAGGTGACTGCCTTGTCAACGGAGATCTGCTTGTCTTGTGGATCAGAAAAGTCAGTAAAAAAAAGGGTGTTGGTAAAAAAACTGAGGCAAAATCAAAGTTGAGAAATGGTGCTAAATAGGAGCTTAACTTATGGTATGTAATTAAATAAGAGCTTGACTTTTTTTACTCCTAAATAGGACCTAATTTTAGGAAGTTTCCAAAATTGCCCCTATTTCTTAAACTAATACAGAAGCTCAGATTTCCATTATTTTCATTCTCTCGTTCAGCTTAGCCTTCAAATTAGATGATCTTCATCTCACCTTTGATGAACTGCTGCGATCGATGAACTGCCTCCATCGATCAACTGTTGTGATATTCACAGACTATCGCTCACATGTTATTTGCTACGATCACATAGTTTTATCGTTCGCTTTTTGTTTGCGACAATCATCTTCACCTTCATCTTCGTTTTAAATTTCAGGTAATTAATTTTATATTCTTGAATTGTATGATGATTGTGTATCAGAATTGTTTTCATTTGTGTTTACTTGTTGATAGTCGTATGAAGTTTTATTGTAGTTCTATGATTAGGAGAGCTGGAAGTATTATGAATGCTTTATCATCATTATCGTTTTTCCTGTCTCTAATCTTCTTTAATGTTCATTATTTTTTCCTTCTTTTCATATTTCTTATTACATACGCTTTACTCTTCTGGATTTATCTTTGGTTTGACATTGTAGATAATTCATGACATTGTTTTAAATTCATGTCATTTGTTGTATTTCCAGGTGTCGCAGACATGGATAATAATATTCTTGTCATGGTTAAAGTTGATGGATACTGGAATCCTGATAATGTGTTTCATAATAAACACACGCTTGGTGTTTCTGTTTTGTTTGGTTCTTCCTATAGTGATTTCTGTGATAATTTGATACATAACATTTTCAAGGGAAGAATCGATAAAGAATTTAGGATATCTTACATTGTTGAGTCATGTCCTCCCCCTGTTTTTATAGATGATGATACAAGCCTTACTTTTTATCTAACTTTGAAAACCTTACATCCATCTTTTTCCCAGTTTCCAATTTGTGTTGAGTTCATTGCACATCAAGTTCCTTCAAAATGTCATACTTCTCATAATACTTCTATCCTCATACCTTCAGAAAGTATATCATTTGATTCACCAAGTGTTCCCTCTTCTTCTTCAGCTGATTCTTTTTTGTCAACTGGTGTTTATAAGGATGTTAAAGTTTATACGCACACTGATCCTACCACTATAGCATTGTATGCTATATACAAGAATAAACATGATCTTATATATCACTTGAAGTTGTATGCCATTGAGAACAACTTTCAGTATGTGACTAAAACTTCAAGAAAAGAAAGTTTACATGTTTTTTGTCCTGATGAGAAATGTGAGTGGGCTGTTCGTGGTGTTCGTCTTCCTGATGTGGACTTCTTTCAGATTCGCAGGTTCAATTGCAACTTTAACATTTTTATTTATTTATTTATAGTTGTAATTATGAGTTACATTAACTTTAATTTTCACTTCTTCTTTTTCAGATTTGATTCAACTCATTCTTGTTCAGTGGATTTCATAGAGGGTGATCACAAGCAGGCCACTTATGACATTGTTGCAGGCATGGTTATTCATCGTTACTCCAATGCTTCTAAGAAACCCTATCCGCCAAATGACATAATTGACGACATCCGTAGAGAATTTGGCATCTCTTTGTCTTACCGTAAAGCTTTGGCAGTTAAGCGACATTCAATGAAGCTTCTCTTTGGATCCGATGAAGAGTCATATCAATTATTACCTTCCATGTGCCATGTCATTGGAAAAGCTAATCCACAGTCTGTCATAACTCTTGTTCGTCATGCTGATTCTGTTTTCAAGTACATGTTCATGTCATTGTCTGCATAGAGGGAAGCTTGGGATCACTGTATTCCTGTCCTAACAGTTGATGGTACTTTTATGAAGGGCTATTTCAAAGGGACTTTGCTCACTGCCTGTACCAGGGATGCCAACCGTCAGCTTGTTCCATTAGCTTTTGGGATATGTGATTCAGAAAACAAGGATTCCTGGAAATGGTTCTTTTCACAGTTGAAACTGGCTTTATCTTATAGACACAATTTATATATTGTTTCTGACAGGAATGCTGGAATTATTAAATCTGTTAAAGATGTCTTTCCTTCAGCTGGACATGGTTATTGTGTTCACCATTTAGCTGGTAACATTCAGTCGCAGATTAAGGGTTCTGCTGATGGTAAAGAGTGGAAGTTTAATGCTGCAGCACGAGCTTCTACTTACAAGGAGTATCAAGAATATATGGCTTTGTTGGATTTGGAGGATCCTTGTATAAGAGCATATTTAGATAAGATTGGAAGTGATAAGTGGGCAAGGTGCATGAGTGGTCCGTATAGATATAATATCATGACTTCTAACTGGGCTGAGTCCATGAATAATGTCAACATTTGTGCTCGAGAGTATCCAGTAGCAAAATTAATTGATTTTATTCGTGAACGAATGCAAAAATGGTTTACAGAGCGTCGTGATTTAGCACATTCAACTACAACTATTCTGCCTAAAGAGCATGAACATGAGCTTATAGTTCTGCAACGTGAAGCATTTCGTATGCAGGTATGACATTGTGTTTGTTAATGTTTGACATTGCTTGTTAAAGTTGTTGACATTGTGTTTAGATCTTTGACATTTTCTCATAATAACTGAATTTCATTTTATTTTTCCTTTTTGCTTAGATTAGTTATTTACTGTTGCAGGTGAAGCCTTCTTGTGCTTACGAATTTCAGGTTGTTGATAGGCGTTGTCGATCTTTTGTTGTTGATTTGAAGAAAAAATGTGCACATGCTGTGCATTTCAATTGGATCAATTTGTGTGTGTACATGCTGTAGCAGCGATTTCCAAAGCACCAAACATGTCATGTTATGATTTCATTTCGCCTTTTTATAAACGTGACGCGTTGTGTGCTACTTACAATGGGATTGTTCATCCAATTTGTGATGTTGCTGCATGGAATGTCCCTGCTGATGTTCAAAGTATGATCTGCAAACCACCTAAGTGTGAAAAGAGGCCAGCCGGAAGGCCAAAGAAGAAGAGGATACCATCTGTTGGAGAGTTTCCTACATTTAAAAAATCAAAAAACAGAGATGTTCACGTTGTACTGGTGTTGGGCATAATCAGAAGACTTGTAAAAATCCAATTCCCCATGTTTAAAAAAATCAAAAAAACAGAGATGTTAAAGTTGTACTGGTGTTTTTGCACTTTAGCAGTACATTTTTACTGCTAAATATTATTGGTGTATTTGACATTCTTATATTTAGAATGACACTTTTAAATGTAATTTCTGAAATTTAGATTGAGATGTTCACATAATCCATTTCATTTTCTATCCTTTGCAATGATAAAACATTTCTAGAATGGCATTCTGGCTATAAAATCATTCTCATTGTCATTACATTTTCAATGTAATTTTTCAATATCAAAGATATTTGGATAATGTCATTTTCTAATTTTTCAATATCATTTGCAATGTCATTACAATGGTAATGTAAAGACGCATTCTGGCAATAAGATCATTGTCATTGTAATTACATTTTCAATGCAATGTCATTTTCTACTTTTCAATGTCATTTGCAATGTCATTAGAATGATAATGTAAAGACAATGAATGCATTGATATTGTGAATGTCATTGAAATAACAATGCTATTTCAATGTCAAAGATATTGTCATGACATCTGAGATACTGTTCAATAAAATGGAATGACATTCAAAATGCACTATAATAACATTGGAATGTCATTTGCATAAATTGAACAAAATAACGAAGTGCAATAATTTGTTCAATGCAAACAGATAGTAGTTGTTTCACTAAGTATATTACACACGATTGTATTAGAATATCATATCATATCATATAAAGCACTTCAGTCCTGCCCACATCTTCACTTCGCTGTCAAATCTTCAACCCAATGCTTCCTTCATCCTTCTTTCGTTATACAGTATCAGCTCTGTCATCATTTTTTCTCTAAATAGGGGCATGTCTTCAGATTTGATTTCCTGAATATCCCTTCCCATCATCAGAAATTCAGCAAATTTCAAAACAAACATTCCACAGTTTCCACTGCATGAAGTAAAGGAAAAAACACAACATTAAAATCTAATAATTTTATTAGACAAAAAAAAATATATTTCAATATATTGAACTTACCAATCATCCTGTTGTGGACAATTTTCCACTGCTTGAACTGTGAACTTATCATCTTTTATATGTTCCATCATGTCATACACTTCGTAATTGTCAAGGATAAGATGTAACATCTTTTTCAAGCAAGGAAGATATTCAACAATGTCTCTAAGTGATTGACCTCGATTTGCTTTTGAATTGTAAACCCTTATTATTTTGGTGGTCATTTCTATAACCAGCAACACCCAATGGCTACCATTACACACAGGCATGTACACAAAATCTGATTCACTCCATGGCATTCCATATTCGCATGTCATTCCCAAAATTTCTGACACTATAGTATCATGGTCAGATGCATCTTTCAATGTCTTATTGTTATTCTTTATTTCGTTATGTGCTGTCTTCAGAATTTGAATGAAATATGGACCCACAGAAGCATATTTCTGTGGTAATTTGTACTGTGCTCTTTTGAAATTCAAATAGTACATGCACACTGCCATATGCTGCAATATAAAGAGTTTCATAAATATTTAATAAAATTATAAATTTACATAGCAAACAATTTGAGTATTTATTATATTAAACCACTACTTACAGAATCAGTCAGCCATTCTTGATTGAAAAACAGTTCGTAGAGCCATGTTTTTGACCTTATCTCAAAGTCATCAACTATAAAAGGCATTTTGTCCAGAACCTCAAAATTCTTTTTGTACTTCCTAGCATCCTCAAATTTCCTCCTATTTTTCAGCAGTCCAATATTCAAATAAGTCCTTGTTTTCTCAATTGCATTAACAGGTGGCATCTCAAAAGGGTCAAGTGCAAATGGCCCGTACAATGACTTTCTTTCATTCATTCTTAGTTTCAACATTTTCTTCTCTAGCCTTTCCACCTTAGCTTTCTTTCTTTGTTGCACAAGTTCTGTAGGAGTGTATTTGTCAGGTTGAGTGGCAGTCCTTTTTGGCCTTTTAAACTTTGCCAATGTCTCTTGAATAGGTATTCTTTCTGCATAAACCTGCATTGCAAAATTCAAATTATATTCCACTCCCAATGTCATCCGCAATGGTATTGATAGAAACTATGTAATTGCCAATGAGATGCCATTAGAAATGCCATTATCAATGTTATACTATTACCAATGTCATTTCTCAGAGTCATTGTAATCGCATTGTACTTCATACAATGACATTCGAAATGGCATTGCCAATGGCATTGTACTATATAGATTGCCAATGTTATGGCATTTTAAATGCCATTGTCAATGATATATCTATAACATTCTCATGACATTTTTAGGAAATCTTATATTATCACCAATAAAAATTTATGTTGTTATTTAATTTACTATTTACCACTATTGCTTTTTCATTGTTACTTCTGAATTCCTTTTCTCCAGAACTCTGACCATCTTTATCCTGCAGTAACAAATCAGAATGTCACAAATAGACCTATAGAAATGTTTTCAATTATCATTGTCATTACCTTGTTTTTTATAATATCATTCACAATATTATCGACCTGCTGTAGATCTTCAGGTGAAAATTGAGTGTCTCCCAACAATGGAGATTTTTCATTGTTAGACATTGTCTTTTCAGGAGGTGTTGGAGTGAAGTGCAAATCAAAACTTGGCATATCAGAATCCCCCATATTCTGCACTTCTTTAACATTTTCTTTTTCAAACACTTCTTCTGCCTTTTCTTCTTCCATTTCCTTTACAGAAACTTCGTTTTTAGAGATTTTATCCTCCCCAGATTCATCAGACTCCTCAGCATCTGGCTTATTATCATTTTTTTCACCCTCCCCAGACTCCTCAGCATCTTTTTCTTCCCCAGACTCCTCAGCACCTGGCTTATCATCATTTTTTTCACCCTCCCCAGATTCCTCATCATCTTCTTCTTCTCCAGACTCCACAACATCTTGCTTATTATAATCTTTTTCACCCTCCCCAGACTTCTCAGCATCTTCTTCTTCTCCAGAATTATCAGACACCTCTACATCTTCTTGTTCACTAGAATCATTCTCTTCATATTCTTCCTCAGTTGTGTCATCATCAGAACTTGTATTACAGTCAAGCTCAACTTCTTGTACAATCTTTTTCCCCTGCACTGTCTTGCCAGAATCTTTTATTTCATACCCTTTCTTCAGAAGCAATGCCTATATCTGCTCAAACATTTTATCATGTTTCTTTAGGGTATCTTTGATACCCTTCAGCTCTTTCAAACATATTACTTGAAACTGATCTTGTTCAGAGTTGCTTTGACTCTCAGTTTCTGCCTGCTCTTTACCTTTTTTGCCTTTTGTTGCTTTCCTTCTCAAAGTAGTACTTTTCTTGGCTTTTTTGAATTCAATTTCCGATTCCTCTTTACCATTCTTGCTTGATGCTTTTCTTTTCAAAGCAGTTTTTTTCGGTATTCTCTGTGATCTTCTTTTATCTATTCGAGACTGCATCTTGCCTTCATTGTCACTCTCATAGATCACCTTCTCCACGGTTGCATTCACATCCACTATGCTTTTCTCATTTCTAGTTGTCCACATATTTGCTATATTAGCATCTTCAAGCTCTATTGTTGTTGGAACAATAGACTGGAACTCAAACTGCAATGGTTGTAATATCATAAGTTTA